AAGGTGAATTGACGGATCAGAGTGAAGACGATGGCGAGCAGGTGGGTAGCTGTTATGTGTGGGGGTTGTGTCAGCGCATGTTATTGTGTTGTGCATTGTTGTGTATATTTTGGAAGTTCGGTGCTATTTCTCCTGTGAGGTTGCGATGCTAGTTGACAAATAGAACGTGCTACTCGATTGAACGCATTTTTCTTGCTAGTTCATGTAAATGTATTTAATTTCTGACTCATTCAAGGTGGACGACAATGTCGAGAGCAATAAACCCGAGAGCACAATCCAAGTGTCGTCGCCGACCAAAGTAGAAGAACGGCAAATCAAACGTGAAGGTGACCCCGCAGTGGCACTGTCGGCAGCAGACGCGTCGGCCATCGTCACAGCTCCCGCTGACAGCACCCGATCTGGCAGTTTGCCAGCAGTCACCTCGTCGGACGACGGCGAGGAGCGCGCCATCGGCGAAACGCTCTGTGCACTCGTCGACGCCGTCGCGGCGTCCATAGACTGTCACCGCGTCGCCGAGACGAACGCCGACGATGGGGCCGGCGCCTGCAGCACGCACGCAGCTATTGCGCGGGGGTCGTCTATGCGAGCTCCGTGTTCGCATGATCCGTCGCATATGCGTGCCGTGCGTGTGGAGGCGGTAAGCACACGTCAAAATGTCGGGCAGGATGGCAATGATGGCAGGCAGGCTGGGGCTAGTGACACTGTGGCAAGCTGGCAGTGATGCTGTGGCAAGCTGGCAGTGATGCTGTGCAAGCTGGCAAGTGATGCTGTGCAAGCTGGCAGTGACACTGTGCAAGCTGGCAGTGATGCTGTGGCAAGCTGGCAGTGATGCTGTGCAAGCTGGCAGTGATGCTGTGCAAGCTGGCAGTGACACTGTGCAAGCTGGCAGTGATGCTGTGCAAGCTGGCGCAGTGCGACACTGTGGGGCTGGCAGTGACGCTGTGCAAGCTGGTAATGACACTGTACAAGCTGGCAGTGAGAAAGATGGTGACAGTGGCCACAAGGACGTGCGTTCTAGCTCGCAACGTGGCAGGACGACCGCCGATTGCCACACGCATTCACACACCGGAAGCAAAGCAATCCCAGTGCGGGCAGTGGAACACGCGGAGGAGTCGGATGCTGACGACCTTGACCCCAGGATTCTGGGTCAAGGTACCATCACCGATGAGCAGGAACTGGATGCCGAAGAAAGTGGAGCGAACAGTTCCTGATGGCAGGAATCCTTCTGGAGTAGGGGAAGTTGTAAGGCCCCCTTCTATGATTTCCTGTTACAAATGGGGTCATTGAAAACCAATTTTAGTTGTTTTACTAGATAGTAATTCTTGTACAGGTTGTACCTCACTAATTAGGAATGCATGGGACGCAGAGCCAGTTCCAGATGAGTGAATATTCCGAACCGTCGAAACTGAGGTTAAAAAAGGGAAAATAATGAACATAGCTGTATTATTACTGATACCCAACACAACTTATGTAAATTATATAAACAGGGACGTTCACGTTCTCGTTGAATGGAGGACGTCCTTGATTCGAACTAATCTTCCTTTTGATGAAGAAATACTTGACGTGATGCGGCCATGATGCCGAGGCCTGCGGGGATTGACACTTTGTGTCTTCCAATCAGCAGTCTAGCCGCCACCTCTCTATTATAACTTCTAGGTATAATAGGCATTAGAGCACAAAATCGTCGATCTCAGGAACTAGGGCATTCTGCTATGTTAGAACGGTTTCCAGCGATAGAGTTTGCCACAAATACGAAAATAACACGCTGTTTAGCGCACTGCGCTACGTCTTTCTGTTGGCATTTTCGCATCTCGGTAAGCAGAATAAGCCCGCGCTTTCTTCGTTGATGGACATGAATGGGGCATCACCGGACGTGACCAGTTCCTACTGTTTTTTCTTTTCGTAAATGATTAAATGCCGGCCAATGGCATTTTGCAATGTTTACATGCCACAGCGTCATCTCTTGGATGTTTTATAAGTAAATATAATAAGTATATAAGTAAATATGGGGATTTTTCAATAAAATAATGCATTTTTAATGTATTTACCACGATTTACGTATAGAAACTATATGTTATTTTTACTGACTTCTCCATATCTTTTCCTTGGAGTTTTCATCGTCTTTTAATGCCTTCCGGTAAATTTTCTGCGTTTTCTGCGTGATTATTATTTTGCGCAGGCACTCATTTTGGAAATCCTCCAACATTTTTACTTCTTCCTTAAGTCCATGTTTCACTGTTATTTAGGAAGGAAGGTAAAACTGTGCATTCGTATAATTTCACTCTTAATTGCTTCTATAGTATGATTTCCATAATTTTGCTCTTCTGCCATTTCCCTCATCATGAACCTACATTTTTCAGTTCAGACTCTTATCATATCGTTATAACCTCCTATATCATTAATTAAATCCCCTAGGTATGAATATTTGGTGCATTTTTTTATTACTTGGTTGCCTATTAATATCTCCTTCTCTATCCTTTCTTTGTTGGTGAATTTTATAACCATTGTATTTGTTTTGTTCATATTAAATTCTAATGTTTTTGATTCAGCTAATCTGGAGCATGACTGAGCGATTTTTGTTACTGTTTTATAATCTCCAATTCCTAGAATATCGTCCATATATAATCATTGTCATCTTCTAAACCTACAGACATCCGCTGACCGCTGTGGAGACGTGCGCCGGGCCTCGAATTTGGCGCACGTCTCCACTGCGGACAGCGCTTCATACTTGAACATCCCCGCGGTCGCGTGCGCATCTCATCCGCGCGCAGCGTTTAGGATCAACAGCAAAGCTGTGCCACGCAATCTTGTATCATGTCTCTCTGGCTGTTAATTAATACTTAAATGTACTTATTTAAAGAACCCTTTAACAGTTAATGTGCTTCATACACATGCCACTGCCCATAGTAGCTGTTAATTAGTATGATAGTATCCCTCCGCATATCTCAGTGGAGGTTGCCGGATTTTACCAGACCACGGTGGCTCTATTACTGGCTATCTTCTGTAAATGTCTGCCTCGATGAATGGTATTGGATCCTCTGGTAAATCTGTTGGCTCTTTTTTGGGCAGCAATGTGTACCGATCGAGGTTGAATGGTTTTCGCTTTCCATACGAAATCTCTGGATTCGCTTTTTGCTCTGCGCTCAGTGTCTGTCTTTGACCTGGTGTCATATGCTAGTGGTCGTTATGGTTGTTTCTGTAGAAGAAGACTGGGTTTTCGATAAATACGCAACTCCAAACTCGTTTTAAAATATACCGCTCTTTTCGCTGGTGGCGCCACCATCCAATGTCATTAGGACATGCTATCAGAGACAGTACGTCGCTGATGCTATGTTAAATTTTGACCTCCTAGCGCCATCTAGTGTGAAAACTAATTATAAATTGCGCATATATGGAATAACTCGGATGGATATATCGGTTACCCAATTAACATCGGTTTTCGTCACGATGTGACGGGCTTCTTTCTCGCGAGATCTATCGCGTTCAATAGAAATGTGAAGAGAATCTTCCCCCCACCACCATCATGTCTAGTTACCTCCGCCAAGGAGGTTATGTTTTCGCCCCTGTTCGTTTGTTTGTTGGTATGTTGGTTTGTTTGTCTGTCAACAGGATATCTCAAAAGGTTACGGCGTGCGTGCGTGCGTGCGTGCGTGAAGAAAATATTGCAAGGGAGAGACTGCGTGCGTGCGAGCGTGCGTGCGTGCGTGCGTGTGAAGGTGAGAGTCACGGAGAGGGAGAGGGTGAGCGAGAAAGAAGGCGAGAGAAGTAACTTAACTATATTAGAAGGAATTTGTGCATCCGTGCCTGTGTGTGTGCCGTTTGTGCCCTACGTGCGTGTGACTGCGCATGCGTGTGCACATCTCCGTCTGCATTCTTCCCTCCCCCGTCCCTCCCTCCTTTCTCTCCTCATTCCTTACTCCTCCTCTCTCACTCCCTTCTCCTCAGTATTACCCTCCCCCATTCGCGGATAGTATCGCCCACGTCATCAGTTGCACGGTAAAAAGTTAGCCAGACAAATGGCTTGTTTTCAGCCTCAACTCTTTCACCTCCCCCCCAAGCACAAAATGTGGAGATACGGCTATAATACGCGTTTTTACAGTCACACAAACACACATACACACACGCGACCGGGTGCGCACACCCGGGTATAGTTTCACGCACGCGCGCGCGTGTAATATAAGCGTAAATTCAAATTTTGTGCCTCGGGGAAAAATACTCACGCGTAATATTTTCAGCATTCGCCGCACACGTGAGTAAAATTACTCGAGGTATAAGTGGTAATGCAGATCACGTGACTGCGTAGCCAATACTGGGCGCACAATGATGCTGTTGAATAAATTTACGCAGCTAGCGCGCACACGTTGAGTATTTTGACGCATGAGTCAAAAATTATCAAACACGTTTGATATCGAGTTTCTTGATGCGTGCGTGATTGCTGCCTCGAACGAAAATCCGCCGCACACGTGAGTATTTTGACGCATGCAACAAAATACTCAACGAAAATCCGCCGCACACGTGAGTATTTTGACGCATGCATCATTTTACTTGAGTAAAATTACTCACGTGCGCGCCGGGATGGATGGCCTTAATGCCATTGGATGGTGGGTCCCCCGGCAAAAAGAGCGGTACATTTTAAAGCGAGTTGGGAGTGTAAAATTCAATAATAAATGGTGGAGAATCAATCAAAACTTGTCAAACCGAGAATGCGTATCTATTATTGTTAATTCAGTTTATATGTCGTTGGATGAAGACTGCAAAGCGCCAATGGACGTTTGAAGCCTGCCTGGCCTCGTGCATAACGTAGTTGAGTGGTATTATTACCAACTGTCTTCCCATTGCTACGCGTAGCCTTTTCCCAGTCTCCTAAATGTTACTGTATGTTCCACTTCCATCTGTTCGACGATAGAAGAGGCAGTCGTCGGCAAAAAGTCGGAACAGTGGTATGCACGTCCATGTTTTCAATCGTTGCATTTGTACGCTGCTGCTGCTGCAAGTTGCCCTTGTAACGTTGCCCGAAATAGCTGTGTTAGCATATAGCCTCAACACACAGCGTTATCCTCCACAGTATATGGTTAGAATATAAGCCTTCCAGGTCCCCGATTATCGGCTTCATAAGCCAAGAAACGGGGACCGATAGCCCAACGATCATTGGGCTATGTCTGTATTGATGGACAACGAGCACTGAAAATACGCTGGATAAGAATTTGCTTCATAATCAGGGGCGTAAATCCCGAGGGGGATAGGGGGATGTCATCCCCGCCCGCTCTTGAAGGAGGGGGGGGGGATGGCCTGTACAAATATCCCCACTGAGAATAAGAATAGAAAAAAAGAATAGCCAAAAAGTATGGTTGCAAACATACAAAAAAACACGTGAAATTGTGAGAAATTGCAATTCTTACCTGTGGTTTTAATACATGTATTATTACTATAGTAACGCTAAACTGTGTACGCTCTCTGAAAAGGGCGGCAATGAAAAGTGTTTTGAATACTAACTTGTAGGGTTGAAGTCTAGGGTTGAGATAGTGGTCATCAGACATGAGAAATATGGCCACAGTATGCGTCAGATGTGCAGAAAATGGGCTTAACAATATTCAAAATTAGTGGGCATGCCGCCAGATTTCGCGCCTAGCAATGGCCTATGCCTACGGCACGCGACGCTGCCTGGCGGCGCCAGCCAAGGTAATTTCGCGCCCGCTATGCGCGCGCGATGCATCGCCCACC